GGCAGTTTCTGAGTTCACGGATACGTTCCATCAGTCACGTGGGGTAGGATCCAGCTTGTGATATTTTCCTGAGAATGGCACTTCCAGCGGTACCCAAAGTGGACAAATTCACATTATCTACTTCACTGTCTTCCTGGCTTAGATGGACACCTCATCAAGTAACTATGTCAGTAGCTAGGTTAGGCAAACTCCTATATTAATACACATTTTATGTATGTCCTTTATTTTGGGTCTAGCTAAATATTTTTTGATAAATGAAGCTGATCATGTTTAGTGTTCCTGCCCGCTATCTTTTTGTTTGTTTGTTTTAATTATTTTCAGTTATGTGCATTTCTGTGTGTGCATGAGTGCAGTACCTGTAGAGGCCAGAAGAGGGCGTTAGATCCACAAGAGCAGGAGTTGCAGGCAGTCATGGGCTGCTTTGATAGGGGTTCTGGGAACCCACCTGGGGTCTTCTGCAAGAGCAGTGCCCACTTTTACTCGCTGAGCCATTCCTCTAGCCCAGTCCACCATCTCCGTGACACAAGTGAAACCCACCCAGCTATGACCCCCTTTTTTAGTCTGTTGACAAAAGACTCCATGACTTGAGTGAAACATGATCAGGAATGTGTCCACCATCTTCCCTTCTTAAACTATGATGTCCAAATGAGCGTGCTCAGATAAATGCCCACCAAAAAAAGTATTTTCTGTGTGCATACATCTAGCCAAGATTCCCATGAGGGAAGCGCTACTCTACTCGGGGTGCAACTCCAGCGTTCAATTTCTCTGCCACAGCGACCCATCATCTCCATTCATTTTTTAATTAATTAATTTATTTTTTTCCATTTTACACTCCAACCAAAGTTCTTCCTCCCACCCCTCTTCTCACCTCCCCCAGCCCACCCTCCCACTTACTCCTCCCAACAACTAAGGGCTCCCCTAGGGAGCCGACACAGTTTGGCATGTTAAGTTGGGGCAAGACCAAGCCCCTCCCCTGTGCGTTAAGTCTGAGCACAGCATCCCAGCATAGGGAATGGGCATCCTCTCCATTCTTTTACCTTCTGGACGTGCTTGTTGACTTTGTTTTGTTTCAAGGAGAGAGGTGACCTCTGCTTTCCATTGCTGAGGGAGGTTCTTTCTCCTGAGGGCTCAGTGATTCAGTCTTAATGTTTTCTAGACAGGGTCTCACTGTATAGCCCTGGCTGGCCTGGAACTCCCAGAGATCCATCTGCCTCTGCCTCCCAAGTGCTTGGATTAAAGGTGTGCCCCCACCACACCCAGCTCAGTCTCTTTCTTGACCTATGGCCACACATCATGGACTCTGTCCAATCATAAACTAACCCATGTCCCATAAGACCTATTGCTTTCTTCAAGCCTCGTGGCCATGGGGCAGTCCAGTCTCACGGAGTCACAGAGGGTGGCCTCCCGTGGACCTTCAGCCACTCCCTGGATATTCCGATTCTCAAGACATCAGTCATGACCACATTGTTCTTCCCGGAGGTCAGTCCTCACTCAGGAGTGCCATGATGACTTTATGTACCTCTTCCTCAGTTTCCCTGTCTCCTATCTTTCGGTCCTCCTCTTCTCTCCCCTTACTCCGTGTCCTTGCACATGAAGGTTCCATTCTGGCCTCTCGATGCCTCCCACTCTGCCCCCTCCCTGATCGTCATGTGCTGAGCGGGTCTGGGTTCCCACTTCTCACCCAAACTCAAGCTCTGCACACACCACCTGTGCATAGGCTTTGAGACTGCATGGCCTCCCTACACTACATGCACTCAACACCCTGCACCTTGACTGCACATTTGACCTCCATCGCCAGCTCTGAGGCCAAGGCTCCACCATGCTCTGCTGTGTCCAACCAGCAGAGCTCCGCAACCGTCTCCTTATTCTGGACTTTGGCTCTATTTCACAAACTTTCCTCCAGGGACATGCTGAAAACACTCCATTGGTCTCTTCCAGGTGGGGAGCCGAACTCCAATTCTCTTCTACCCACAGTCCTTTTCAGCCTGGCCCTACTCATGCAGTTAGCTTTATGTCTTACTGCACTGGGCCACTCCACCCCCGTGAGCTCCAATAAGTGTGGTTTTGCAATAGGGCACCCTCATGAAACAGGGCCATCTTGCCTGCTCTTTCATTTTTCTGGAATGTTCTTTTGGTATCTCTTCTCATGGTTCTTTAACTCTCGTTTCCTCTGAGAGGCCTTCCAGGCCAGGAGAGTGATGGGTGCAATAGCTTCCCCCTGTGATGCCCTGTTACAATGTATTTATCGCCTTTGAACTCATGTTGGAATGTGGGCATCCAATGTTAGTGAATAGGCTCATGTGTCCATTGTCTCCCTTGTCTCGGATGGCTCTGGCTCCCATTTTCCTGGGGCCTCCAGTGTAGGTCTAGGCTGAGCTGATAAGCAAGCATGAGCTACGTGTGGTCCATACTGCCTTGCCTCTCTCTCACCCCCACTGCCTCTCCAGCACCGGGACGTTTTGCAATAAGTCACTCAACGACAATAAGCCAACCAATATTTGTCAGGTGCTGCTGGGAATTGGGGATTAAAAGATGAATCAGTCTTTCGATTGGCCCCCAGGAGGTTCACGGTCTGGCTGGGAAAATAGACACCTAGGCAGATAAACACGCTCGTACACGCCCTCACTCCCATTGATGACTGCTCCCGTGTGTGCCAAGCAGAGGTGATTTTGCCCAGCCTGGGGCAAGGGTCTGGGGGTTTGAATGGGAAAGGTTATTAATACGTGGAGGACGCAGGTCTTCAGATCCAGGCCAGGTGTGTGACGGCTGAGGTTCAAGCCCCTAGGATGAGCAAGCAGGAGGGGAGAGAGGGCCTCCCAATCAGACTTGTCGGCCTCGTGCCTCCAGGACACACAGGTGGGGTGCTCAGGCAGGCTCCTGTGCTTGGGGGAACAGGCTGGGACGTACCTAGGAATGAGGTGTGAGCCAAGCCTGGAACCCTGGGGACAAACCCTCTGGAGAGCATTCTTTCTCTCTGAGAATGTGTGACGTTGGGGAGAAAGTGTTGGGGTGATCCATAGACTTCTCTGCCATTTCCTGTGCCAACTTGTAACATGTTAAAGAAGAAAATACTAACTACCCCATCGCCTCTGCCAACATCAGGATTGGAGGCTGAGCCCCCGGGGCTCTTTTTCTGTGCTGGGTTTTAGCTTTCATGTGTCTTTAAGATGTTGGACTGTGGCCCACTGTTCCGATCTCTGAACTCTCTCTCTCTCACTCGTTCGCACTCCCTAAAGGCAGTGACCCACTACAGAAGCTCATCCTCAACACAGATGCAATCTTCTGCCTCCGTGGTCTCTTGCAGCTTCCTTGCCTTCTCCCAAGGGGTCTCCTGTAAGCATCTCACCCGCCTTCTGCCTCGGTGGTCTCCAAAAAGCATCTCCCCAGCTTCAAACTCGAGATCTCCTGTTAGCATCCCCTGGTTCCTTATTTCCCATCTTTTCCTGCTCCCAGCCCTTTCCTTAGGAGATAACACATTGAAATTTTTCAGCCAGCTCTTATGGTCTAGTCTCATCTTTAAAAACATGTCCTAACTGTGTCTGAGCCATTGTGTTCCAGTGTTGGGATATTATCTGCTAACCTCCTATCTTTAAGACGTGTGGACTCTTTCTCAGCACCCCCGCCACACACACACACACACACACACACACACACACACACACACACACACACACATACACACACACACTGGGAAAATTCACCCACCTATCAGAATGTGTCTTAGGAAACTCTTATCTCTCCAAATTTTCCCTGAGAGAGAATCTGGAAGAATGGCTTACCAATAAAAATATTTGGCCCTGAGCTCTTCCCTCTGTACGTGCCACCGCCAGTAGGGGATCTTCAGTTCAATCCTTCTGGGCTGTGCTGTTGACTTAGATTATTGTGAAGCCCGGAGGAAATGTACAGGAAAGATTAAGTATGTCTTTCAAGACTCGCACAGTGCTGACACCAAAGTCTGATAGGCATGGGTCCTGTCACCACCCTTACCAGGGCATCAGTGAGGCTCTGCAGAATCACAGTTCTTGACAAAAACCCGTAAGAGATAGAGACACTGTTCATTTGCTCTCACAAATAAGAATAAAGGCCAAAGAGCTGGTCCAATCTGGTCTCCAATGTTGTATGTGATTGAAGCAGGCCTTGAACTCCTGATCCTTTGGCCTCCACCTCCAGAGTGGCTGAGAATACAGCATGGGCCACCAGGCCCAGCTTAGAAGCTTGTCTTTGTCCCTGCTTGCTTAGAGATAAGTTTACAATGAGCGAGCTGACAGTGACGTTGACCTCACGTTCACTGTATGGCTTTCAGGATGTCTTCCCAAATCGACAACTTGGTTTAAAACTCACCCAACGCCTGTGCTCAGAGGTGCAAGTGCCTTACCTCTACCTTTTCCCTTCAGAAAGAAGCACTCTGGCCACTGCTTCCTCCTGCCTCAGTATTGGTGGAGAGGTGGTCATGTGACTCAGTTGGAGCCTGTGAGCTGTTTGGAGACTTTCTGCTCTGCGGGAGAGGAGGTTCTTATTTATTGACTTACTTACTTACTTACTTACTTTGAAGACAGTGTCTCCCTGTGTAACTCCAGCTGACCTGGAGCTCATGATCTCAACCAGACTGGACTCGAACTTACAGAGATCTGCCTACCCTTGCTTCCCACGTGCTGGGATTAAAGGCATTCACTGCGAAGCCTCCAACCACCACGGGGGTCCTGCGGACTCAAACCTAGGTTGTCAGTCTTAGAGAAAAGTGTTTTTACAGGCACATCTTGCCAGCCCTTTCGGCTGTTTGTTTTCGCTGTTGTTCTTAATTGCCATTGTTCTTGGGTCACGTGCAAGCCTTGTATATACTAAACACACCCTCCACCTCTGCACTGCACCCCAGCCCTAGGCTTACGCCTTTCCTGCCAGCTTGGGTGACGGATATCGGAGCAGGAGCGTCAGGCATCTGTGTTCGGGAATCCCGAGAAGGCAGGGCTACTTCTAATAGAGCTGAGGTACGGACCGAAACCATGACGCTGCAGCATCCTGGGAGCTCTGGCCTCTACCTGCCTTTGCCTGAGGGTCACACGCAAGGCCCTGCCCTGCTGCTTAGCAGGTATGAGGAGGTGATAGCACATAGAGTCCACTTCTTGGGATGGAGAAACGGCTCAGTGGTTAAGAGCCCTGGCTGCTTATCCAGAGGACCTGGGTTCAATTCCCAGCACCCACATGACAGCTCAGAACCATCTGTAACGCCAGGTCCAGAGGACCTGGCATCCTCACACAGATATGTGTACAGGCAAAACATCAATGCACATGAAATAAATAAACAAGACGCCATTAACAATCCACTTCTCTGCTTCCTTGTTTTGTTTGTGCTCTGTAGGGGTGGTCCTCCACAGAGGCTCAGGCCTGCTCTGAATGAGTCCTCCTTGGGTGTGCAGTACCCGTGGTGTCCAAGCCCCTTCACCTTTTGTGCCCCTGGGGGTACTTATCTGAGGTGGCTCTCATTACACTGAGTTGGCTGCCGCTCCTGGACTCTGTGAAGGTTTCAGATGAGGTCAGTCATCGAATTCATCCCGCCCTTCATGTTCCCAATGGCAGACCGGTTCCCTCAGAGGCCAAGAGCCATCTGAAGGTCACACCCTTCCGCAGGAGCAGGGTCAGGTGCACAGAGCACCAGCTGATGCCCGGAGTTGAGTGAGGTCAGGTGGTGCTGACAGGTAGGCATGGCGTCTGTCTCCCCGGTTCATCCTAATTTCCAACGGGCTTTCGGAGATCTGTACCAACTAAGCAGCCAGCAGAGTCATCCCCTGGCCTTTGCCCACTGCACAGCTGCTGTGTTCTCTATCCATGTCTATCCGCAAGTGCTGGTTAGATTGGTGGAGCAGGTACCCCTGTTGTAACTCATGATTGTGTCCACTGAGGCTTACAGCACTCATTTCGTCTCCTGTAGCTGAGAGGTCTGACTAATATGGTTCTGCACTGTGCCTGGGCTTCACTTGGTCTTGCAAAGGAAATTCCTGCAGCTTCTAGAGACTTCTGAAGCATCTGGTGTCCTGGCTCTTTCTTCCCTTCGTGGTCAGGACACTTCCAGGGGCCTTGTCTCTGGTCTTTCTCAGTCTCCTTCCAGCTCTTCCTCCTCTTTGTCTTCCTTTCCTCGAGAGGACCTAGGATCCCAGGAGGCTCACCCAGTGGCTTGTCATCCTCATTGACCCCACAGCCTGAAATCCCATTGTCTGTGTAAACTGAAGTCCATGGACTCTGCATTAGGGAGTAGATGGCTGTTGGGGCCTTAGTTCACTATTGCCAGGTGATAGTGCATCAAAATAAATTCTCTAGAGAGCCAGTGTGTGAGCGCTGTGGAAACTGCATCGTGGTTTAATGTCCATGTGTCCAAAGTGCGCTAAAAGGCTTTCTCTTTCTGCTTGAATTCCTTAAGCTATTATAATTTAAGAAGGGTTTTAGACTTGAGAGCCACCTAAGCAGACACAGCAAGTGATACATTGTTTGGTGGGAAAAGCATTTATGAAGACATGAAGACAGACAAGGGATGCTAGCCTACCTCCTGCCTCCCCTTGCTTTGATGGTTTCCATAGGAAGCCCCCCTTCTTTGGCTGGTCTCCTAAACCCACCCTTAGACTGGCAGGTGCAGGAGCTGCTGCCTCCGGAGATGAGGTCATCTCCCAGGTTGTCAATCACTGTCATTTCTCCTAACTCTCTGGCCCAAGGCACCGAGCCATTAGCCTTTCCCAGGGTCTCCTCTGCCAGTTCCGGGCCTCTGCTCTCCTGCTCCAGGGTAAAATTTCATAGCCTTTGATGTTTGAATCTCTTCTCAGATCAGGGAGCATGCCTGGGGCTCTGCCCAGGGGATGCTGGACTGAGCCAGGCCTAGGAGGAATGGTCTGGGGATCAAGGAAAAGGCGGAGGGCAAGAGCTAGCAAGCGGGCGATGAGTGGCTGCAGCAAAACCATTGACCTCCACCACTTTCTGGTAATCTGGGGTTACCAAGGAGACCAGGTGGAGGGCCTGGGAGGATTTCATCTGGGTGTTCAGGGATGCCAGATGACTAAGGGGGTTCTTAGTGGTCCCTAGCCTGCCATCCTCCCAGCCTCGGGCTCCCACCAGTTAACTATGCAGACTTTTCCCTGTCCCACCTGTAATCTACCCACATTCTTTTCCATCCCTTCCTCCACTGACAGCTTAGGAGGGTATCTTGGTCTTCTTCCTGGGTCCACTTTGCGAATTAGCATCTTCCAACTTCATGTCCGCCCATAACCTCAAAGCATGTTTGTCCTTGGAAGTAGAGTTCAATGTATTGAGTTAAATTATGACGAATTCATCCTAGCTTATGACGGGCACGGAATAAATTCCTCCAAAACACAGAGGAGACACCGAGATAATGGAAAAGGCCATACGGAGGCTAAGGCACACTCGGAGTGGTGTGTCTGCAAGGTGTGGAGCCTCCAGGACTGGGAAAGCACATAAAACTGGGGGCGTGCAGAGCAGACTTTCACACCAACTGTAGACTCCTGTCCCCAGCCAGTGATCATTTGCTTCCTGCGGTCTAATCACCCAGTCTGGAGTTGGAGCTGATTGTTCCTGTATCTCTGTGACCAAACGCTTGACGGAAGCAAGTTCCGGGAGATCATTTATTTCAGCTCATAGCTTCAGTCAGTCTCAGTCCACCATAGTGGGGAAGCCATCGTAGAACCAGCCAGTTCATGGGGGTAGGAGCATATAATTCACGTCACAAAAGATCAGAAAACAGAGAAGGACCAAACCAGGAGGTCCTCTAACCTCTAAAGCCTGCCACTAGCGTCTCTTTTCCTCCATTCAACCCTTCTTCTTCATAAAGATTCCACAACCTTCAGAAACAGTGTCGCCGCCTGGAGAACAAGGCAACCTGTAGGGGGTGGCACTTCACATTCAGGCCACAGCTGGCTCCTCTGTTACAGCAGCTGTAGGAATCCTATACATCCTCCATCTATGTCTCACCACAATCCCAGGAAACTGAGGCGGGCAGGAGGTGACTTCCAGCAGTCGTGACCTGGTACATTTGAGCCTTTCACTGCTGTCTCTACACAGAGGGACACAACTGGGGTCTTCCCACCACTTGTCATCTCAGCTCAAGATGACAAGTCTGGTTGCATCTTCCTACTCTTGCAGTGTCTCAAGGGTCACTCTAAGTATTCGGCTCTTCCCTGCCCTCAAGCCAAGCATGTGAGAATCCTGGGTATGGATGATTCTGTTCTTAGAATATTACACAGAAAGGAGGCTCTGCCCATCAACAGTTTGATAGCTGAGACACTTGTTTCTCTGTGTGTTTCTTTTTCTGAATCCAGAGATCTATGGCCAGCATCTAGTGTCTCGCTGAACTGGAGAGTTCTGTGGTCTTGGAAGATGCAGAAACAGTACATGTAAGTGAGAGTCGTGGGGGCATGCCCTGGGCACCAGCATTTTTTTTTTTTTGGAAAGCCTCTTTTATGGAAGCCCAGACTATCAGGGCATATCTCAGCATGCACAGAGTCCCATGAGTCACTCCCTCACTGCCGGGACACATTTCTGACAAAAGCAGCTTCAGGAAGGAAGGATTTATCCTGGCTCACGGTTTGATGGCACATAGTCCATCGTGGAGAGAGAGCGTGGCTGCAGGAGCGTGAGGCAGCTGGTCCCATTGTGTCGATAGTCAGGAAGCACTAAGAGATGAACACTGATGCTCAACTCTGCTATCCCAGCATCCCAGTATCCCAGACCTTAGGATGGTGCCAGCCATATTCAGGTGAGTCTCCCATCTCAACTCACCTAGTCTTGAAACTCCCTCACAGACCTGTCCATGTCTCGATAGGAATTCTAAATCCCATCAAGTTGATAAGCAAGATTGACCACTGTAGTTATCTCAGAAGAGAAACACAGTCTCCCCTTAGCAACTTCCCTGGACCCATGGGTGATTATCCTGTTACACCAAACAAACATTCTGGTTTGTTATCCATCAACCCCCTTGAGATCTGGGCCCAGGGCCTCAGTTGTCTCCATGATTCTTCACACACCTGCCCTGCCTGCTGAAGCCAACACTACCTGCCCCTTCCACGCACATCTCCAGGGCGGGCACTCCCTAAACTACCTGAACATTTCCTGGCTTCTTGGCTCCGTTCCCGATGCTGGTCTTCTGGGATAAGCTGTGCACTCAGCATCAGTTCACACCCTTGACCTACCTCGCTCCAGTTTCTCCCCCTCCCCGGGAGTGGCCATCCACCCTTTGCTGGCTCAGCCCAAATCCTGGATCCCTTTCCGACATCTCCCTCTTTTCCGACTTCTGGCCCAGCCAATTCCGCCACATCAATCAATAATGTGCTCCTCACCCAGTCAATTTTGGTTTTCTGTTGATGTCGTGTGTGTGTGTATGTGTGTGCACGCTCCTGTGTGTGTGCGTATGTGTTGTTTGACGTTGAATTTCAGGCCTCCTGTGGACTAGGAGAACTTTCTACCAACAAGCTATATCCATAGGTTTTGGTAAATTGCCCAAGTTCCTCTTGCCTGAGTCACCTTCCCCCAACCTCCGAGTAGCTGGGATGACAAGCCTAAGCCACCGGGCCTGGCAAACACTGCTACATTGTAGCCCAGCCTTCATGCGTCTCATCTGGTTAGCCACAGGGGCCTCCAGCTGGTCTGTCTGTTGGGGGGCAGAATTAACTTTGCTTCTAGCCTAATACCCCCACAACAGATGGCACCCAAATGCCAGCCCATGCAGCATCCACCTGCTCAGAAGCCTTGGCAGCTCCCATCTAATTTACCAAGAACTTTCCGGGGTCAGAAAGCCTCAGTAGGTGGGTCGCTGTCCTTCCCTTTCCCAGTCACTTTAATCTAGCTACATTGGTTTTGCTTTGGTTGAGTTCACCAGACAGCCAGTATCCCAGGGCCTTTGTGCATCCCGTCTGTCTGGGGCGCTCTTTCCTGATGGCCCCGCAACTCACACCATCGCTTCCTTTAGTGTTTACTCCAATCCCACCTTCCCCTGACTCCTTTGTGAGATCCTTCTTAGAAACACAGCACCCTCAATTTTTAGACCACTTGTTCTTTGGATTCTTCGCATGCAATCCAGAAATGGGAAGTGCA